ACAAGGGCAATTTCCCCTATTATCCACAAAGAGTCATGCCTTTAACTATTGTTTTATTCTTTATATACCCCAAATTGTTTAATCAGTCTTAACAGGTACAAATCCATTTTCATGTTCGCCATATACTGAACTTGTGGTACATGGATTATTTTGCTGATATCTGATGGTTGCAGTGTGTCATTAAGGCTTTCATGTAAAGTCACTAACCAATCAATTTTTTCCTTATTTCCAGTTTCCACACATATGATTATGCAAGGCATTTTGTTAGTGCCTGTACTCGTATTCTTGGACTTGAAGGTACCCCTGAAGGAGTAGAGGACCAAGGGAAGCTAACTCGTGTTGCTGCGGTTTGTATACATTGCCCTGTTGTTAATGAAAAATATGTTCCTTTTAGATCATTTTGTATACATAGGTGTTGCATGTTTGGCCTATAAAATTTCTACACTAATCGATGGATAATTCATCCTTGTCTCATACTGTTTCTCTATATTGGTGAATCCAGTTCCCCATTGGTATTGATTCAGATAGGTTCATTCGAGCACTTGAAGTTCCTCAAGTCCAGGAGCATGTCAAAGAATTAAAAGAAAGATTTGCTGGAAGAAAGGTTTTATTCTCTCTTTTCCCTCTCCATGATCCCTCCTGTACTTATAGCAAATGAATGTATTGTCTCGAGATTGCGCATAGGGATTACAGGTGTAAAATTGATATTCAGAAAGCCTATGATCACGTGAACTGGGGATTCCTTTTGTATATGCTCAGGCGATGTGGTTTCGGGGGTAAGTGGTGCTATTCGATTTAGTTTTGTATATCTACGGTCTCCTATTCAGTTTTGGTAAACGGCACTCCTAAGGGTTATTTTCGGAGTAGTAGAGGTTTGAGGCAAGGGGATCCGTTGTCTCCATTGTTGTTTGTTATTGTTATGGAAGCTTTCATAGGATGCTTGAGAAAGTTGTGGGAGAAAGTTTGTTGAGGGGTTTTATGATTAACCAATTGCAAGTATCTCATTTGCTATTTGCAGATGACACATTGATCTTCTGTGATGCACAGGTTGAGCAATTCAGGAACTTGCATTATCTACTACTATGCTTTGAAGCTGTATCTGGATTGAAAATTAATTTGCGAAAATCTGAGGCTATCACCAGGGCCGGTCCTGTGATTGTCAAGGCCCGAGGCGAAGTTCAAAAATTAGGCTCCCAAAATCAACGTAAATGCAAAATTCAACGTTGTGTTATGCAACATATTGCTAACTTAAAATTTAACATTAAAACAACAAACAAATATCTCAATAATCTCACAATTAATGAAAAAACTATTTTCCTTTTCCTTCTTTTAATGTTAATAAAAAAAAAACTCTGGGTCAAAATAGGCCCCCTATGGTTTTGGGTCTGAGGCACAGAGTGGGAGATGTTGATAATGTGGAGTAGTTGGCGGACATATTGGATTGTAGGATTGTGCAACTGCCTATGTTATATTTTGGGCTCCCCTTAGGAGCACGATTTAAAAATATACACATTTGGAACAATATTGTGGAAAGGGTAGGGAGGAGGTTAGCGGGTTGGAAGCATATGTACCTCTCAAAGGGAGGCTGTCTTACCCTCATTAAGTCCATTCTATCGAATCTCCCCACTTACTTCTTGTCATTGTTTTCTATTCCCGTTTTAGTGGCAAAAGGATTAGAGATGATTCAAAAGGAGTTTTTATGGGGAGGTTTAAGGGAGGAGAGGAAACTTCACTTGGTTAATTGGGGTGTAGTGTGTTCTCCCATAAAAGCGGGGGACCTCAGATTGAGGAGTCTTGTATTTTTTAATAAGGCCTTGTTGGGTAAGTGGTTGTAGCGTTTCGGTTTGGAGAGAGAAAGCTTTTGGAGAGAAATTATAGAGGCGAAATATGATGTTTTAGAGAGAGAATGGTGCTCGACCGAGGATCGTAATTTTTATGGGATGAGTTTGTGGAGTTTTATCCGACGACGGTGAAGAGAATTTCAGGATATATTGAAGTAAGTGGTGGGAATGGCAATATTATCAGATTCTGGAAGGATTGCTGGTGTAGAGATCGGCCGTTGAGAGTAGAGTATCCTTCCCTATATAGTATTACTTTGATGCCACATGCTATGGTGAATGAAGTCTTACATATGCATAATGGGAATCCCAGTTGGAACATTGCTTTTGGGAGGAGTCTACAGGGCTGGGAATTGGAGAATTATGGGCTACTCCTGACCTCTTTGTATGAGGTGCACGTCAGGGTAGGAGAGAGTGATTGTAGCAGGTGGAGGTTGGCAAGCGATGAAATTTTCTCAGTAAGCTCTTATTTTAGATCCTTATTGGAATTTGAGGAGAGTTCATTCCCCTGGAAGAAGGTATGGCAATGTAAATTGCCCCCTCAGGGGATATTTTTACTATGGACGGTTGTGAAGGGATAGGTGTTAATGGTGGATAACCTCCAATTGAGGGGCTTTTATGTTACGGAATGGTGTTATATGTGTAGGAGAAATGGAGAGGCGATTGACCACTTGTTCCTTCATTGTGACGGTGCTCGTTCCCTGTGGAACGATATTTTGGCTTTTCAATACATAGATTGGGTGTTTCCGCAGCATATGGAAGATGTATTGAAGGCATGGAGGAGAAGATTTTGTGATAAAGATAACAAGATTGTTTGAGACCTTATCCTAGGATGCATTGTCTGGTGTATGTGAAGGGAGATAAATAGCCGTTGTTTTGACGATCATACACGGATAACAAAGCAGATTAATTTTTTTTTTATTTGACACTGTATAGTTGGTTTAATGCCGTGGCTAATACTCGTGTTGGCGGGTTGCCCAATTTCATGTCATTTCTGTCTTGTATTAATTGATAATACACCTCTTATGTATTATTCATGATTAATAAAATATTTGATTACCTATAAAAAAAATTATCATCAGTAAATCTCAAAGAGAGAAGTTCAAGTTCACCTATTCAAGCAACTTGTACTCTTTAGCACTTAATCCAAGTTTGAGTAAAACTTGATTCTTTTCTATTTTTCCTCATCTCCTTCCATCTATAGCTTCTATGGTTCTTCTTGAAAGTTATTAAACATATTTTGTTCATTAAATTCAAGTATTATGTATTCTTATAGGTAATGCTCGGCGTGGATCGCCTCGATATGATCAAAGGAATCCCTCAAAAGATACTAGCATTCGAAAAGTTTCTTGAGGAAAATCCATACTGGCGTGATAAGGTGGTTTTGCTGCAAATTGCTGTGCCAACAAGAACTGATGTTCCTGAATGTATAGTTTTCAACAGGCTTACTTTTACTTTCCTTTCACCTCCCTTATATTCTCCAGTCAAGTTACAAGGATTTATTTCTTCTCTTCCAAGGATGATATCATTTCATTTACTCATTTATTCTCCACAGATAAAAAACTTACAAGCCAGGTTCACGAAATTGTTGGACGTATAAACGGCAGATTTGGAACTTTATCTGCTGTTCCAATTCATCATCTAGTGAGTATATACCTGTCAAATGTCCATATTTAAGTTTATGCTGCTTAATATTCATGTGTATGCAAAAAATTAAATTTTAGATGGTTATTTTCTACTGATTAAACATTAATTCCGACTTGCTCAACATTTCTCTACTTCACAATAGTTCTTTGTGTAGATACGACAAAATATACTTATCTATTAAATCTCTAAAATATCAGTAGTTTTGAATATCATGTCAATTTTAGCCCAATATTTGGTAAAGAAAACTGAAAATAATATGAGCAAACTGATTTATATACTCAGCTGTCATTAAAACGTTAATCTATGGCATGCTGGTCATTTTTCATGCATGATTTGCAGTCGACTTTTGTACATTGCAGTTTTCAAGTAGATTATTGAGATACTTTAATCAAATTGTTATTTGTCTGCAGGATCGTTCTCTTGACTTTCATGCCTTATGTGCATTGTATTCTATTACTGGTAAGTGGTATGGTTATCATAGCCCAGACTTGATTCTTACATTTGTTTTATTTTCACAAAGCATAATATTTCTGGCAGTTTCCAAATGTTATAATGACCAAAATGTTCTTGGCTTGGTCAAAAAATGGGGATCAGAAGATTGGGCTTCATGCTTTTCCTTCCAAATGTTTGTGTTGTCTTGAGTTTCAACTGTACAGTTATCTTTAATGCATGGACCTCAATGCAACTGGCTCAGTGGCTTTGGTCATTCTATATGTTGTAGCTGGCTTTCTTGGTTCCTCAGGCGTCTTAATTATGTAAATTTGGATCATTATATCTTTGATTTTGTCACAAAATGTTTTGTATAAATATTCAGCCCTTTTGAAGGTGAGGAGCTTAAACTTTCGAACAGGTTTCCTATTTCCAAATTTAGAATTTGGTTTCAAGCTTGAGCTCTAGGAACTAGACTAGATTCTTCTATACTCATAGTTTGGCAGGCAGCACAGAATCGAGATTCAGCTTGAAAGTAGAAAGAGCTCAATTCTGATAAAATTTATTCTTTCCAATTAAAATTTCATTTCCGCGAATTCAAATGCTAAAATTGTTAATATAATAGTAGTTAATTACTCTGTTGCCTGACTAAACCTGCACTAAACCAACTTGGTGATATTTTTGATGTTTGACTTGATGCAACAGATGTAGCAATTGTCACATCTTTGAGGGATGGAATGAATCTTGTCAGCTATGAGTTTGTCGCATGTCAGGATTCCAAAAAAGGAGTTCTCATTCTCAGCGAAGTAACTACCACACACCTCAATTTTATGGCAACTTAACTTTTATTATTTGAAGATAATTTGCAGTTTGATTGCCGACACACAAATTTCTATTTTTAGTGCTAGAAAAGGTTTTCAATTTTTATGAAAGGAATTAAGTACGAGGTAAGGTATTTTAATTTTTCATAAGATCAATACTGGTATTGTTGTATTTGTCTCGCTTCATTTTTTTTTTTTTCCAAAAGTTGTTTACAATACACAAAATTAAATATTCACAACCATGTGATATTTAAATCAATCTCCACCTATCATGTAACTTTTTGACATTTCCTATTGTCTTGTTATATTACTGGATTTCGACATTCCCTTTGGTATACTTTCAGTTTGCAGGAGCAGCACAGTCTCTTGGTGCTGGAGCAATTCTTGTAAATCCTTGGAACATCACAGAAGTAGCTGCTGCCATAAGCCAAGCTTTGAATATGCCTGCCGAAGAAAGAGAGAAACGTCACCGCCATAATTTTGACCACGTGACAAATCATACTGCTCAACAGTGGGCTGAGTTCTTCATAAGGTGAGTGAAAGTTAAGAGGTCAGAATAATTATCTTGTAACTCTATAAAACTTTGAGAATTATCTTTTTGCTTGATCAGCTAAATGCGAAAGACTTTAACTGGAATAATGCTGCTCAAACTTTAATAAATTTCCATGTTTAGGTTCAATTATCCTTTTTAAATATTTTTACCTATTTTGAGCTTAAACTGACTCAAATAATTTGGATGTATTCTTTCTTGTGTTGAATGTGGAATGGAAATGAAGTTTAGGAGCACTTTTTGTTCTTATCTTAAATTACATATCAACTAGACTGAGAACATCCATGCTTCCTTTATAGAGTAAATGCTGTACATAATCAGGAACACTCGGAATTGTTTGAGTTCTAGTAGTTTCCAAGACATCCTCTGCAGGCAATGGAAAATTTGACATTAAATTATCTATGGTTTTGTAGTTTTAGACTAATGAACCAGATATATAATAAACCTATTAAATTAATCCCATCTTTCTCTTCAAGAAAAAGCATAAATGTCATATATCCAGGAAATTTGGACCAATAGCATTTCTATAGAGGCTTCAGATTAGGTATGCTTTATAGGTTCAGAAAGAAAATGGTGGTTATGTCTGAACCTGGTTTTAGTATTTTGAAAAATATCGTGTTTATATCCGACTATCCGAGTTCTTTTGTAGTTTTGCTTGATTCTGGTATGGAAATCCGATGCCATAAGGAAATAATAAGACAGTTATGCATGCACATAACTGTGTCATATTCTTCTTAAGTGAAGGTACAAGGGCGAGAAGATTGGATAGTTGCTAAAAAATTGAAAATTCAGGTTGTTGTCAAATTTGAACCACAGCGTTGCAATAGCCCAGCATTTTACTGCTATGATAGGCAACTGTTTGTTTTTAAAGCTCTGTTTGTCTTAAATAGGTTTGTGGCTGGTAAGCGCATGACCGGGGAATCTTAGAATTTTTTAAGTGCTTATATGTTATGGGGTCTACAGAATGTGTCGATAGCAAGTAGTTAGTAAGTTGTGGTCCTCCAAAATGTGTGGATAAAAAATATGTTTGACCAACTTAAATTAAAATATAAGCTTTGCCAAACATACACTTAGTGGATAATCATTTCGCTTCTTGCATCCATCACGATTAGAATGAAGAAGAAAAGGATAAATTATTAGTAATTTGTATTTAAATTAAAAGAAAGAAATTATCCAACCCGCTTTAACCCGAATAAAATATACTCAGGCCTGTTTTTCTTAAATAAATTACCATACCTAAGGCCATATCCAACCTTGCATCAAATTTTACACCAAACTAAAATTCATCTCCAACCATTACACCAAATGAACAGTGTTTAACCATTTTCTTCCCTTTTTTTGTTCTTAATAATTTACTTATTTGAAATATTATTTATTTAATTATTTCATAAAACATAAATTTTGATTTGTCTATGATGAGCAAGGAATTCCTGAAAATGTCGATTTTTGTTTTCAACCAACTCAACTTCTGGACTTGACGCTTCCGTCCATTCTTGAACTGGTGCATCAACACTACATTCGTCCTCGATAATCATGTTATGCATTATTATGCATGTAGTCATGATATCATGAAATACTTGTTTTTCCCAAAACCTTACGGGTCCTTTCGTTATTGCAAATTTTGATCGTAGAACACCAAATGCACGTTCAACATCTTTTCTTACATTTAAAATTTATTTTAAATACAAATAATATTAATATTAATAAAAAATAATAATTTATTGTGTTAAAAAATATATAGCACAAATGACATAAATACTCTCAATAAATTTATTTGGAAAATGTTAAATAAGGGCAAAAGGGACATTTTACACTTTGCACCATTTTGGTGAAAAATTGTGCCAAAGTGTAAAATGTCCTTTTTGCCCTTATTTAACATTTCCCAAATAAATTTGTTAAGGGTATTTATGTCATTTGTGCTATATATTTTTCAATACAATAAATTATTTTTTTTATCAATATTAATATTATTTACATTTAAAATAAATTTTAAATTTAAGACATAATAATTAATAAATTAATTAAATATTATTATTATTATTATTATTATTATTATTATTATTTGCATTTAAAATAAATTTTAAATGTAAGATATAATAATTAATAAATTAATTAAAAGATGAAAATAATTTAAAATACAACAAACACGATTATTTATTAAAGTTAATACGAAATATATTAAACAATGACATACATACGATAATCTAATTTGATTTCATATTTTCGTTGTCGTAGTATTTTTATTAATTGTTCCGTATTTTTTATATTTATTAATGAATTTAATCTTTTCCGTAATTTAATGTAATTATTTATTTAGTAATTTATGTATTTATAAAATAATTAAATAAATAATATTTCAAATAAATAAATTATAAAGAATAAAAAAGGGAAGAAAATGATTAAACACTGTTCATTTGGTGTAATGGTTGGAGATGAATTTTAGTTTGGTGTAAGATTTGATGTAAAATTTGGTGCAAAATGGTGCAAAATTTGGTGTAGGGTTGGAGATGGCCTAATATGACATGAGACCTACTTCTTTGGCGTTCTGAAGAATATGGAAAATGTTATGTGTACATAATAGTGTACACATAGCATTACACCCCCCTCACATGGAGGGAAGTCCACACACAATAAAATATTATTGGACCCATTCCACGTGAGAAGGGTGTAATGCATTGTGTACACCATGAGGTGTACATGTAGCATTTCTCGAAGATTATTATGATATCCTCAAGGTCCTGTAGACCATTTATGCTTTATGGTACAGAATATTGAGCAAGTAAAAGACAAAATGTCTGTAAAGTCAACTCAGCAAAGATGAGCATGATAAATTGGATATGTGACTGAACGGAGAGACAAGAATTGAGAATTTACGTCAAGAAGAGTGGGTGAAACCAATAAATCAGGGGTACGACTGTTTAGGTTGTTGGGGACATAGCTTCTGTAGACCTGAAAAAGCTCATGTTCACAACAATAATGCAATCCCAAAATTAATGTGGAATGCCTATAGCAAAAGGTTGGATTTTATTTTGGAGTGTGTAATGACGTCACCCTAGATAATTAGTCTTGTAACATTTGATCAATAGTTAAGACAGAAAAAATGCAATACCAAAAATCATAATACAATCAGTAAATTATTCATGTTATCCAGCAATAACTAGCATTATTTGGTAAAGAGATCATTTAACATTTTTATGTGTCATCTGGGATCCGTTTACAAACTTCTGGATAATTAATCATGTGCCAGAAAACTGCTATTCGAAAATATACTATCTTGAACGGAGGGATATACCAATTTTCACATTATCATATTCAATGAATGGGTGAGTGAGTTGCAAGTTTTCATTTTGGTTTTGGTTTTAGGTAGTCACTCGATTTTTTTGCAGTGAACTGAATGGTACCATTATAGAAGCTCAGCAGAGAATGAGACAAGTTCCACCTCACCTAGTTTTCAGCGATGCAATCCAGCGCTACTTGCAATCTAAAAATCGATTACTTATACTGGTATGCTCTATTACATTTGTTCAGTTCTGAGTTTCAGAAGATCTGGACAGCATTTTTTCCCCCTTATTTGAGTTTGGAACTAAAATTTTTCTAGGTGTAATTCATTCTTAAAGGAATACCCTATTATTTTTTGGGTTATAGTTTTATGATTGACTATTATCATAAACAGGAGTAATAATTATTTATTTTGTTTGTTTGTTAACAAACAGGGTTTCGATGCTACACTAACTGAACAAATTGACAGTCCTGGAAGAAGAGGTAGTGATCAAATTAAAGAAATGGAACTGAAATTGCATCCTAAGTTGAAAGGACCTCTGAAAAAGCTTTGCAATGATCCAAAGACAACAATTGTAGTACTCAGTGGAAGTGAGACGAGGGTCTTAGATGATGTTCGTCATCTACTATTCTCTTGCTTAACTATTGACTTTATGTTCTTTAGTGAGCTGGTTGCTTTTGCAGATCTTTGGTGAGTACAACATGTGGTTAGCAGCTGAGAATGGAATGTTTTTGCGTTCCACAGGGGGAGAATGGATGACAACAATGCCAGAGCATTTAAACATGGACTGGGTTGACAGTGTAATGGTATGTCATGCTTTAGTTATTTCTTCACTACTTCCACATTGAACCTCTAAATAAGTTGGTGAGTTTTCCATAATTCAGCACGTTTTTGAGTATTTCACCGAAAGAACCCCAAGGTCACACTGTGAGCGTCGTGAAACTTCACTTGTATGGAACTACAAGTATGCAGGTAACCAAGTTGAACGATTTTCTGTTCCTGCTAATTTGATTATCATTTTGTTCATTCGCTTTTCTCTCTCTATAATCTCAGATGTTGAATTTGGAAGATTGCAAGCTAGAGACATGCTGCAGCATCTTTGGACTGGTCCAATGTCTAACTCGTCTGTTGATGTAGTCCAAGGAAGCCGCTCAATTGAGGTGCGAGCAGTGGGTGTTACAAAGGTAACTACATCTCTAACAATTGAAATCTTGGATTATTTGTGTGAAGCCTTGTTGACAGACACTTTGGTACAATAAAATTTTTATATTCTGGTCTTTTTTTCACTTCACTGTGTACAGGGAGCAGCTATTGATCGCATACTCGGAGAGATAGTTCACAGTGAAGCCATTTGTATTCCAATAGATTATGTGTTGTGCATAGGGCATTTCTTAGGAAAGGTATATCTTCTCATCTTTGTGATTGCAAGTTTTATATTATTATCATCATTAGGGGGAGGAGCTAGGATTGTAGAATTTGTGGGGTTGGGGGGGGGGGGGGGGTGAAAATTTCAAAAAATTTTAATTGGGGGACAAAGTTGAAAGCTATAGGGAATTTTTTGAATATCTTGGATTTGAAATTTAGTGAGGATGCAGCTGACCCTACTGCCCCCATACTAAATCCGCCACTGATCATGGGGGATTTTTATGCAGCATTATGTAAAATTCACACTGCATGAAAACTACAAGCAGCTAGCAATTTACATAGTAAAGCAGTAGGTTAGATAAAAATATTTTGTAGGTTTGCTATTATAATGTTAAATATATAGGATCGATTGAAATTTTTTAAATGGAGGTATACATAGAAAAGAAACAGAAATATAGATATCTACACTGAGCCTCCGAGGCGGCTGGAAGAGTTCATGCTCTCAAAGTAACAATTTCTAAATTTGTGTGCACGTATATATTTCGTTGCATGAACGCATACATCTGATATATGTTCCCTTTGGTGGTCCTCATGGCGGACCCACATGGTGTCATATCATAAAAATTTGGGTGTTTTTTTTTTTTTTTTTCCTCCAGTTAGTACTTGCATCGTTTACCACCACTATATATATTGGTTGTATGTATTTTATGCAAGACTGTGCGATAGAGAGAGAGAAAGTAAGGGTGGAGACTTGCAGGCGCAAGTGTGAGCGAAAGAGTGCATAGAGAGAAGTCAGATTGGGAACCTACTTTAAAGTCCATTAAGTGAGATTATTATATTATTTACCCAATTAAGTGGTGCGTATCAAAATTATATAAATTCAAATTTTGTTCAACAATTTGGTCTTATAAACTGTCATTTTAGTATTGTCCTAATATTGTTTTATATTTTTACCATCATTAAATTCATGGTCGAACTTTAGTTGAGATTGAATATTTCATTTTGTTTATTTGATTATTGAGTTTAAAGATTAGTTAAGAAAAATATTAATGCATATTGCATTCTATAATTTAATGGCCGCCCAAATTTAATGTATGTTTCAAGCCCCCAAAAACTCCAACGTTGATTAAATTTCATCCACACTGAACAATATTCCTGGCTCTATCCTTGAATATTTGCATATATTGTTGTTGCAATTTGTTATTTTCTTGTTACATTCATTGATTCATTCGATATCACACATTTGGGATTATCATTGATGATAATTTTCTTCTTTCACTTGGAAAAACCTAACCGACTTGTTGCAATGGCAAAACACAACTTCATGTATAGGAAATTATCAGGTAAATTTTTTTCCTCCAAAAATTTCTTGTTTTGATTTATTCACCGAGTTATATTTTTTTGTGTTTATTCATCTTTAGTTTTTAGAAAACTCATGGATATGTCATGCTAGTGTTTGACATAATAGAAACTTGGGGTGTCAGGCAAGGCACGCTCGAGCGTCAATGACTGAAGCCTACTGTCCTTGGAGCACCTAAGTTCCACTCGAGCATCCTTAATTTTTTATCCCACAGTAAAAAATGTATGGGTCCGCCCCTTGTGGTCCTGGCCATTGTTTACTTTGCAGCGTGTATGGGGTCACTTGTTAGAAACAGTCGTCATTGTTATGGAAGATTATATTCGTCGACCACACTGGCAGATTCCTAGTTCTAGGTGTAACTAATCATTAATTATCCTTCGGGAAGGTAGCAAATCAATTTTCTTTGGGGTAGAGGGGATAGAGATGATCATTTAATGACAGGAAACTGTTCTGAAGGCATATAAACTGCTTGTTTCATTTGTACAAGAGGTTGATTGTTTTCAAATACACTATTTTACACCACATTTGAATGCCATTCTTCATTTGGACAGGAAAGGAAGCATTTATATTGACTATTCCTTATTTCCTCAACTGTTGCTTCCTTTTTCCCCCCTTAATTCAGGACGAGGATGTGTACACTTTTTTCGAGCCAGAACTTCCCCGGGATACTACAGGTATGTCAAGAACAAGAGCAACCGATGCAATGAAGCTTGCTACTGAGCAACGGGCCACTCCAACTATAAACAGCTCCAAGTGTCAGGGCAAGCGTCAGCAGTCTGGACCAAAGCCGGACAAGAAAGCAAGCAGAAGCCGCCGATCATCACCAGAGAATATCTCGTGGAATGTGCTCGATCTGAAAAGGGAGAACTATTTTTCTTGTGCTGTTGGCCGGACTCGAACAAGTGCTCGATATCTTCTCAAGACATCAGATGACGTCGTTTCATTTCTCAAAGAAATGGTAGAAGCGTCATCGAACACATCATTGTCAATTTGATCGATCTCGCAGTGCCTATAAATATGACCTTTCTATCGTCGTGTTTTCTAGCTCCTTTCATGTTAACTACTCTCTTTGTAGCACCCTGAAACATCTAGACTTCAGTTTTCCATATGTACATATAGGAAGATAAATAAAACAAATACAGAGAAACATTGCCTTAAATCACCTCTCACTTTCTATGTAGATTTGGTTGAGTGTATCAGTACGACTGTGCCAGCTTCTATATTTTTGCACCAGGAGTTTGGTTACAATCTGGAAAACTGGCAGGGGCCTGTTTACCTGGATTTACAATGTAGAGCAGTTTCTTAACTGTGATTCACTTCAAAAAGAAGATTCATAGAGAAGGCCATCTTTAAGAAAAATCATTTTCCAGGGTTGCATTAGATTGTAAGGTGGAAAGTCTTACAATATAACTGAATCATATATATACACATAAAATAAATTCTCGGCCTCGACTTAGGTTTATAGGATAAATTAATAATTTTGATAACCTCATAAGATAATACTTTACTTGAAAAGACTTGTTCGTGCCATAAATTAAAAATTTACTATAAAATACCAATATAATTGAGTATGATATTGTCAATATTGTGTTGTAGCCAGGGGCGGACCCACATGGGGTCATGTGGGGGTCAAATGACCCCACAGTTTTCTGGAATTTTTATTTTTATTTTTTATTTTTTGGCGCTGAAACTTAATTTTCTGTTTTTTTTTTTGTGCTGAAAACTTAATTTTCTGCCCCAAAAAGTCCAAATTCTAAATCTATATCCATATCACATGGTTCATATACATTATTTAGTCCATAAATATATCATATAATCCAACGATTTCTTCCCAAAGTGCACATATCGAACATGAACAGAAAATAATCGATTTTTCCTTTTTTTCATGATACGTTGTTCGAAAAAAAAAAATTTGACCCCACAGTTTAAATGGTCTGGGTCCGCCCCTGGTTGTAGCAATTCTATTTAGTGCATGTGGGATGCACCTCGTCATATTCACATTATTTTTTACACATTTCATTTGTTATTATTGATTGTTGAACAAATTTAATATAAGAATTTGTTATAAATGTTGAAGTAATGGGTAAAGAAATACAAGTAGAGTTTGTGTTTTTTCAAATAGAATTTATTATTAATATAATATGTATAATTATCTAATTAAATGAATGAATAACAGTGAATTTTATTTATTTTGTTAAATAAATAGGTACTAACTGTTTAATTTAATATATCTTTAATTGATAGCTTATTTAATTTGTTGAATCGGGATCGAACTCATATAATGGTAAAAGAATATTTAAAAAACAAATTGAGGTACATCAGCTAGTTCGTTACTTGTTTTGGAGGTATGCTAACTTCGAATTTCAGTGCAATTCCAATTTTTACAATTAAAGTGGGATGTCCAACCCGCTTATATATATAAATGACCGTTTTACGTAGTGAAATAGATGAATTACTAGTTGTGACAATAGTTAAATCTTAGATGCTTCTAGTGAATCTTTTAACATGTGCATTCGATATTTTCATAAAACTACAAATATCATTCGAAAAAGAAAATTTTAGAAAATTTTTTGGAAATCATATATTGGAAAATGGGAAATTTTTGTTATATATCACCATTTACATAATTTTCTACAAATTGATGAGACGTCATAAAGAAAATGGGAGATTTTTTTTTTTTAATTATATATTTTTATTTGGTTTATGAGATTTTGACTCAATCAAATCTCTGCACATCATTTGTTGATAAACAAATATGTAAGTTTTAATGTACACATAGCACAACTGTTGTGAAAATAAGTAATGTGCTAATTTCATTTTTGCAACTTAGAAAAGACTTGCTATCTTTGAAATCTGATACTACACCGCTACTCAAGGCCTTAGTGGATCAATTCTATTACATAAGTTGAATCCGAATGAGATGGGATCCTCAAAATCCTCATTTTATAGTTGGATTCTTGATGCCAAATGGAAAAGCAAAGATCTCATTAAAATATACAGGTTAATGAAACACAAAAAGAATCACTTTATATTATAAATTTTAAATATTACACCTCAACATTGTGTTCTTTCCATATCAATCTAAGAAGTGATTCATAGAAGAATAAAAATGAATATGACAGATAGAACTATCACAGCAACTATCCCAGATTCTGAAAATGTAAATTACTCTAAAAATAAGCTGCAGCTCAGCAAGATCATGGCTAAACATACTTATACAAAATCCAATATCAGCACTCAGATTGACAACCCAAAATAATTAAGCAGAAGGGGTTTTCCTGTTGGGTTCAAAAACATACTGGATCAACGACTCCTTGATCGAGAGCAAATCGGGGAACTCTTTCTTCAACTTGGAGGCATCCAATTCGTTGTTACTTCGAGGAGCAATAATCACCTTAGCTTGCTCTTCAAGTGTGAAGTTAACCCATTTGAATTCTGGATCAATGTACTCCTTGTACATCTCCAAAATTTCATTGTGGCTCACAACACCCGGGTTTGTGAAGTTCCAAATGCCCCTGAGGTTTCGCTTTGCCATCTCGATTGAGATAGGAAGAAGCTCGTCTAAGATGGTCATGCTATTGGGAATATTAACCACCTTGTTATACTTGGAAATCTTGGTAATGAAGTTTCGCGGATTGTTGAGGTCAGAAGATATTGGCATTCGAACTCTGAGTGTGCAGACGTTGTCATATTCTTTCAAGAGCTCTTCCACCTAATTTGACAAGCCAAATAGAACACATTAGTAAATCACACTTGGGCATAAAGCATTGGGCCCATCAAACATCATTAGATACACAAGCAAATAAAAATGTAGTAATGTAGAGGGGTGGGAAATACCATGGCCTTGGTTTTTGAATAAAAGGAACCTATGAAATTGGGCGTGTCTTCCTCCTTAAACCCAATGCCAGAACCTTCAGGGTGTGTAGCATTATATTCAAATATACACCCTGTGGCAAAATTCATCATCAGAAGTCCATGCTCTCTGCATGCATCAGCTAAGGTCAGTGTACCAGCAACATTGGTGCGAATTGTTTCTGTCTTGTGACTCTCACACCAATCAACATTGGGTCTACCAGTTACACCAGCAGCATTAAATACGTGAGTTGGCTTAACACTGAGGATATCCGCCAACAGCTGAGAGCGATCCTGCAAGCGTCCCTTTCCATACTCATACGGAATCCCCTGTTTCTCACATAATTTTCCGAGCAAACCGCCAATCCACCCAGTCCTACCATAGATCAAGAACTTCAATGGTGGTTTTTGAGATGTATTGTTTTTGGAGGAAGGAACCACCATGTGGCTCTGGTTAGGCTTGCCCAAGAATTCAGACTTTTTAGACTCGTCCTTGTCAGCTCCATCAAGTCTTTCAATTCCACCAGGCATCATGAGCATTCTAGGATGAGGAACCAGTGCTCCAGATACATCACCCCACCAATCAGGATTACTGGTATACCACTCCATGGTCTTTCTCAAACCTTCATTCCATGTAGTCCTCTCAATCCAACCCAGCTTCTTCAGCTTCTGATCATCAAGGAAGTATCTCTGATCATTGAATGGCCTGTTATCCACAAACTGAATGCTTTTGTCCGGGTCCGTGTTAAATAAATTGCATATATCTTGTGCGACATCAATTACTCTCCTCTCCCTCGTCGTTCCAATGTTGTAAACATGACCAACTTCGCCCTTGTGAAGAACACATTCGAATGCCTCAGCAACGTCCTCACAATAGAGATAACTTCGCACATTAGAACCATCCCCATGAATAGGAAGAGGCTGCCCTCTCATGGCTAAAAGGATAAACTTGGGAATTAACTTTTCGGGAAACTGATTTGGACCATAAACATTGTTTCCACGAGTGGTTATCACAGGCAATCCATAAGATCTACCATAAGCCATAACAAGCATTTCTGCCCCAGCTTTAGTGGCTGAATATGGGTTTGTGGGAAGGAGTTGAGACGCCTCGTGATTTCCTACAACAGCATCCTCATCAGTCTCTCCATATACCTCATCCGTGCTTACATGAATAAATCTTTTGATTTGTCCAGTAACTTTGCAGGCCTCCAATAGAACATGGGTGCCATAAATGTTGTTCTTGGTGAACTCAAAACTGTTACCAAAAGAATTATCAACGTGGGTCTGAGCTGCAAAGTGCATTATAGTGTCAATGTTTTCAGTAATGAGAAGGTAGTTGACAAGATCATCACTACCGATGTCCCCCTTAACAAACTTGAAGTTAGGGGAAGCACTGGAAGGAAGGAGGTTCTTAAGGTTAGAACAGTAATCAAGCTTGTCTAGGACAACAATCTTGTAGTCAGGATAGTTTCTGATAAGCCTATTTGCAACATGAGATGCAATAAATCCGGCAGCACCAGTAATGAGGATATTCTTGGGTGTATATGTCGCCATTATTGCTCAAAATCTGCAACTGGGAACAAAGAAGAAAATTTAAAAAGGTCAAATCTAATAACAGGTGCACCCAGAAATCAATGCAAAATTCTAAACAGTAGTTTATGAATAAAGTAACACAACAAGAATCTTACTACATAAAACCAAAGATTATCTTTAGTTGCTAGAGCGGCACAACGGAAGGAAAGGAATGATTACGTGAAAGTCAGAGAGTCAATAAATTTTCAATATCAAACGGCATATTAATAAGCACGGAATCATTAAATATATTAATGTAGTAGGGCTTAGATTGTCTCCGAATTCATTTATTGAAATTAAAAAACTTTCATTCCTTGTTTAGGCAAAGTAAAAGCCGAAATACACAAAATTAAGCAATTAATGATAATTACAAGCACAAGAAACATTCAACATCAACAGTTGCACCAAATAAACAGCAGCAGCATTAAAAATTTCAATGGCAATCAACTCAAAATTTTCAGATCTGATTAGATTAATACATAGGATAAACAAAATACTTGATCCGGCACACCAAATGACATGCTGTATACACAGAGCAAGTACAACCATATAAACACACGAGTATATGCAAATACAGATCTGGATTAATTGAAGCAATGGCCATTTACTAGTAACATATCCAACATAATTAACAAAAACCCACATGACAAAACTAAATCTTTCGCTGAAATTAGAGTAGAAATGAAGCAATGTCCACAAGGTAACATTAATTTAACACACGAAATGGTAATAGATCCATCATAATTTACAAAATACCAGATCATAAAAGTAAATACTACGCTCAAATTAAACGAAAAC